CCGCTGAATTTTAATCGCTGTAGCAAATAGGCCCTTAATTAAATTTAATCGTTATTTTTCTTAACAAAACTTTTCATAGTAATTCCTATGTCACATTAGAGCTCAAAAATTTGAAACTTTTTCATTTAAAGTTTAATATATGTGGGAAATTAATATTTTTGTAAAAATAAAATCAAAAATTTTGGGAATTTTTGAATTGGCTAAGTAAAATTTAAATCAAGTTGTGACAAATTTCAAGTAAAAATTAAGATAAAATAAAATTAGATGGAAAATTTTGAGTTAATATAGTTATTAATATATTTTATACTTGTGACAAATTTGAGATATTAGTTACTAATATTAATGTTAAAAATTGAAATATATAATTTTGACAAAAAAAAAATTACATTTGGTCACAAAAGATTTGTCACAATAACCCATGTAAATTTGTGACGGTTAAAATCATTGCAATAAGAATAGTTTTTTTTTTTGTTAAAAGTAAGAGATCTTATATTCGAATCATATAACATATAAGTGGAGTGCGATAAGATCCGAATAAGAGATGGAGAAAGTTATCTCCTATTATGCAACTAAAATAAAAAAAAAATGGTCACAACAACGTAGCACTTAGTTATTAGTAAAATATTGATTATAAATAATTAATTTTTATTACAAAAACTAAATTTTACTTCTAACTAAATTTATTATTTGTAACAATTACATTTTATGATAGTATATATAATTTGTTGTAAAAGAAAATCACAAAAAATTAATCACTATAAAGTGAAATTCTATGCCTAATAAAAAATTAATCACAAATAAATAAATTTTATCACATGCAAATTTAGTCATGATTATACTCGATTGTCACAACAACAATCATAAGAATAATTATTTTTTAACTAATGATCCAAAATTTATGTAGATGTAAGAATTCATAATTTGTGAAAGTTAAAAATCAATAGTATAAAATTAATATTTGTCACAAAATTGGAAAAAATAAGCGAAACTTAAGCAATTATTTTCATAGGGAATTTAGGACCATCTGATCAATTTCTTCAATTGTAAAATGACAAATTTGGGCACCCAACTTTCAATTCATATGCATTTTAATCCTTAAATTTCAAATTCATTCAAATATATCTCTAATGTCACATTTTTGTTTTTCTATTTCATCAATCAACTATTTTAGATTTTGCAATTAAATTCTCATATTTTTTTTCTCTTTCATTCAAGCTTTCCTTTTAGCGCAAACTAAAAGGTCATGAAAACCATTAATCTACACAAATAATTATGAAAACAATGTTAAAATAAAAAATATATATATATACATATAAATTCATATCATCATTGTATATTACATATACATATTTTTATTAGTAACAATGCCACACACTTCATAAATGCACTTCATGTTGTGAGAAAACCAAAAACTAACAAAACTACCAAAAAATAAATTAATTAAATCACAACAATTTAATAAAATATCTTAGCACAACCTAAATAGCAAATTCCACAATGTTGTCCCAAGACATGAAGCTAAAAAAACAAAGCAAATGATCATAAATCTTCATCATCATCTATATCTTTAGGTGGAACCCTCCTTCTTCTTTACTAAAAAAAAGATCATATTCATAGTCAGTTATCACAACGCCAGGAGTTATTGGCTCTTTTGTAACATCAACATGTTCTATTTTTAATCAATTTTGAGATAACATCATTACCACCTACCAAAAGTGATCTTGTTATATATATCCAATCTCCTCATTTTCACGAAACAACCCCACTAGAACTTCATCAGGAGGAAAATCATAGAAGTATAAGGTTTTGTCTTGGTCACAATATGCTAATATGTTTCTTTTCTGTCTAACCATAGTAGACCTATTTAACTTGAGTAGCCAATACAAAAGGTTCATTTGTTTGAAACTTATAGCATTTATTAGTGCAAACCCATATTTGTCTTCCTTACATCTTTTTGTTTGTCCTTTATTAAATCCATCTCACCAATCACACTTGAAAAAGAACCACACCACGTCCTCAATAATCTAGTTCAATAATTTCATTTAATACCCCATAATAATCAATGCCTTTGTCTCCTTTTACATATACTTCATTATTTTGTGTTTTTAACTTCATATCATTCTCCTTAGTGCAAAGTTTCCAACCATTAATAAGGTAACTTCTATTTTTATTCACCCTTCTATTAGGTCCCCAAACCAAGACTTCAAGTTCCTCATTGTATGTCTTAATCCCTATATCTTTCAAATGTAAAACCTAAAGTAGAAGAAAAAAAAAAACAATAAGATATATAAACAACATTTTCCACATTGAATCAAGAAGTAAACTCACCAATAGATGTAAAAAGAAAAAGAAAAAAAGAAGTCATTACCATTGACAAAAGTTGTGAAATATAATCTTCCCCCTACCAAACTCTAATACGAGAATCATTGAGACCAAACTGGTCTAACAATTCCATATCATGCACAAAATAAACAAACAAAAAACAACAAAAAAGGAGGAAAAATGCTTCAAGATATTTTTAATTCAGAATGTACTGGTAAGTGTTAATCCAAAAGCCCATTATTTTTCATTATAAACTTCAAAGAATATATCAATTTCATGCAAGAAAATGCTTAGATGGCAAAAGATTACATGCAACTACCAAGAATCTTACTATTCTAATTTTACTTTGTCAATGCAAAGGAAATTTTGAGATTTTTTATCTATCTTTTTTGTCCATTAAAGTAGAAAGGAAAATAAAAAAACTTAAGCAAATGTATTTATCACAACATAAAAAGATAAAAATACCAATTGAAAAAACCAAAAGTATTATAAATTAACTAACTTTAATTTAGTAGTTTAATTAAAGTTATACACACTAAAGTCTAGGCAAAGAAAAGATCAGGACCATCCTTTTTTAATGATTAGTCATGGAGGAATTAGAATTCCAACAAAAAATAGAATAAAACCAATTCAAAAGTAATGTCATGAATAAATCAAGTTACCCATATTTGTTCAATATAATTCAGTTTTTTAAAATGTTTAAAAACTAGTAATAAACTTTTTAAAACTTAAGAGTAAACTAACAACAAAAATATAAAAAATGCGTTTATTTATTTTATTCTAATTGCTTTGGAATCTAATTATGTTGCTATCAATGAAGCGATGCAGATGGAGACATGAATTGAGGTAATACGGAAAATTAATTTCATTTTTAGAGCCTCATGACAAAAATTTTCAACATTCATTAGTAAGAAGAAAAAGATGTAAGAGATACTGATCTAATAGGCAGCTTGATGACTCAATGTATTCCAAGAGGAGGGGTGAATTGGAGTTCCAAAAATTCTCTCCTTTTTTACAACCACAACACCAAAATTAAAGAGAGTAGAGAAGAAGAGCTTGCTCAATGATTTTATAGAGGTCCGGTCCAACTACTTGGAGCCTAGTCCTCTACCCTGGCTTCACTCACCAAGGATTTCCTTGACACTCTCCACTAAGAAAACAAGGGTGCCTTAAAGGAGCCACTCAATTCTTTTACAAGAAGATGAATATTTTTCTCAAATCTCACCCCTTTACATATAAACCCCAAGAATCCTCTCTATAGATCACTCTTGAAGGATTAATCACACCCCCAAGATCACTCACAAATAGAACAAGAAGAGGATTACAAGTAAAGATCTCTCAAAGATCAAAAACTCAAGTTAAAGTTCATGTAGTTAGGTAAAGATATTCAATGCAATGCTCTCTAAACTTGTTTCAGATCTTCTACCAACCATATTTATAACCCCATGGTCGAAAATAGCCATTACTAGCCGTTGGGGGTCATTTAATGCTCTGCAGGACGCATGGTTTGAATTGCAGAACTGTCAATACACTCAGCTTAAGCTTTTAGAGCTGGCTCTATACAACCGGCTTACCATTTCTGCAGTCGGCTTTGCGACATCCTGCACATTCTGTTTTCTCTGTAGAGCGGGCTGCAAAATGCAAAGCCAACTTTGCGGGTTTGCTGCACATTCTATTTTCATGGATAGCCAGCTGTAAAAATGTAAAGCCAACTTTGGTATTCTGAGTTCAAAAATATTAATTATTCTTCAAATAATTCGACCGTTGTGCATTAAATGCACCCTTACAACCAGTTGCAAAGTTGGAGCCAGCTTTGTGTCTTTTCTTCTAGCGCGCCAAACAACGGACCTTTAAATCTTTGCCCATAGAGCCGACTGCAGCTTCCAAAGCCGGCTCTCTGCACTTCCATTTCACAAGAGCCACCTCTCTACACGTATTCAAGCCTTTCTAGTCCATTTTTAAGTGCAGTCTAAGTTTACTTACTTTGTAATCTTTTGATATTTTAATTGCATACTTAAATGAATCAATTAGTCACTCAAATGTGTTTTGTAATCATCAAAATCATAGGTACAACAATCTCCCCCTTTTTTATGATGACAAAACACTTTGAGAATTAATTAATGGAAGCACATATATACTTCAATATTAACTAGAATTTCAGCACAAAGATAAAGCACATATATACTTCAATATTAACCAGAATCTCAGCACAAAGATACTCTAAAAAATGACATTAAATTCAGCATATTCTCTCCCCCTTTTTGTCATTCATCAAAAGGCACATAATCAACAAACTCCCCCTTAATTCATGCACATCAATCTTTAAAACATTTAAGCATGATAACCATTAAGAAAAGCAATTTAAGCACAAAATGCTCCTTCTCAATAAGAGCATACAATCATCAAAATCATAAACAACCATTCACAAAGCATGATAACACAAGTGATGCCATTACCATTCACAAAACATGATAAAACGGTTCAAGAAATATCCATAGTCAAAGTAAAAACATAGTCACAAACTTAAAATGCATAAGCCTAAGATGTCCATCTTAAAGATTAGCCAAACTAAAGAAATATCAAGTTTAAATTGGACATCAACTATTAAATCATGCAATTTTAGTCATATATCAATGTGTGCATCATCAAATAACATGATTATAATCAAGGTACACATATCAAAGTCATCAATATGCATAAATTCTAATAAGCAAATACATTAATTTCAAAAGCCATATCAAGCACTAAGATCTAACATGCCAAGCTCATTAATTTGCATAAATTTTAATAATCACATCAAATGATATCATATTCAACAAGCATATATAAAAAAGAGTGAACACATATAAACAAATAATTAATAGTCATGTTGAAGTAATTATACTCAATGAATAAATGCAATAAAATAAATAATACCAATTTGAGCACATGAGTGGAGCATTCAAAAACAAAATTTCTTTGTACTTTCACTCCAACATTCTTATTGAGGCATAAGTCTTTATCAAGATCAACTTTACTCTTCTTATGACTTTGCCATCAACTTTACCTACAAAACAAAATTAAGTTTTGATTTTTGGTACCCAAATTTGCTTGGTTCCATGGGGGTTAGTGCTTAAAGTTCCTTTTGGAACCCAAATTTGCTTCACTTTACCTTGAGCTATCAATCTCTTCAAAGGACATGCATAAGCAAAGTGTCCCTTTGCACCACAACAATAGCAAGTAACATTAGGATGAGATGATTGACTTACTTTTACAAAAGAATTCTTAAAAGTCTTTTGCTTTTTAGAATAGTCAAATCCAATGCCCATTTTGTCATAAATACTTCTTTGAAATTTTAAGATAGAATCAAAATTTTCTTTACTTAAGGTAAATTTGGAAATCACATTCTCAAGATCACAAGCTTTTCTCTTTAAAACCTCATTTTCCTTCTTTAAATCTTCATTTTCCTTCTTTAAATCCTCATTTTCCTTTTTCAAAGCATTATTAGACTCCTCATTCTTTAAAGAAGGAATCTCACCATTTAAAAAGGTATTCTCTTTAACTAAAACCTCATTTGGTTTTGAGAGAGATTCAATTTCATTCCTAAGCAATGAAATGGTTTTAGTAAGAGCAATCTTCTCATTTCCTAGTGTCTTAATGTCATTCATAGAGCAATCAAGAACTTTGCATAAATCATCATAAGAATACTCAAATGAACTTTCATTAATTGAACTAGAGAAGTTAGAGTTTACTTCCTCATCATGGTTGCTATCCTCTTGAGCTATGAAGCAAAGATTTGCAACACCTTTCTCTAAGGAGCTTTCACTTTCTGTTGAGCTAGTCTCATCATCACTCCAAGTGGCAACAAAAGCTTTCTTCTTCATGCCCTTCTTGCCTTTCTTCTCACCCTTCTTCAATTTGGGACATTCATTTCTATAGTGCCCCATCTTGTTGCACTCATAGCATTTCACACTCCTTTTGGTAAACTCTCCTTCATCTCTTTTTGCAAGCTTGCTCTTGATGTTTTTCTTCATGAATCTCCTCACTTCTCTAGAGATCAAGGTGGAGATGTTTTCACCATCACTAGCATCATCTTCACTCTTTTCCTTTTGGTTGCTAGCCTTGAATGCAACATCCTTCTTCTTCTTCTCAACTACTTCAACTCCACCATCAACTTGAACTTCTATCTCATATGTCATCAATTTTCCTTGAAAACTTGAACCTCCAACATGTCCCACATCTCCTTGAAAAGGATAAACTTCACCAAGACCCTTGAGATTGGTGACTATATCATTCAATCTTGTATACATATCTTGAATGCTCTCCTCTGGTTTTATCTTGAAAAGATCATACATGTAAGTGAGTCTATTGATTTTTGACTCTTTCACTTGACTTGTTCCTTCATGTGTTACCTCCAACATGTCCCACATCTCCTTGGCCGTATCACATCCGGATACTCTATGGAATTCCATTGGATTAAGGGCACATTGAAGCATGTTGATTGCTTTGTTGTTGATCATGATCTTCCCCAAGTCTTCATCATTCCATTCAACTTCTTCCTTTGGCACCTCTCTTTCTCCAACAACTTTCATAGGTACA